CTCTTGCACCCTACTTGCTAGACCTTGAAGGCAGCTCCACATGGAAATGTACAGTAATCAGCTGTCCTGAGGAGCATGCGTCTTAATCCACCACCAGCCTCAGGGGATATAAGAGTCCAGTGGATAAAGTATATTTCAGGATCATATGCATAGCTAAAGATTGTCCATCTGCAGCAACAACTTTTCATCAAACTGTCTTAGCAACTTAGTCCAGTTCCATGTTGGACCAGAGAAAAGAACCACAAAGAGGGATTGGCTCTAAGTGTTCTGTAACTGGACAATTTGAAGTTTTGTAGATAAGTCCTTTCCTCACTCTTATCACTACATTAAAGAAAGTTTTTTGCATTTGCACTTTTACTTGACTTCAGGATGCAAACAAATCCCTCTAATGCAACCGGAGACCCATCACAGCTTAGTGTTAAAGCTCAGCCAATGTCATTCTTTTAACACTTCAAATTTCAATGAATGGAAAACAAAGAAAAAGATTTGCACTGCTGGCAGAGATAGTGAAAGCCCATCACCACCAGACTCTTCTTAAGTCCTCATAATTAGGGGCATGAAAAAAACTATCATGACTTGAAACAATCTCGCTGCCAAGATGTTTGATCTGAGTAAAAAAGACAGGTGAGTCAAAGATGACTTATCCAAAAGATGTAGTGCAAAGTGATTTTAGGCTGCCATTGATTTCAAAGGGAAAATTGCAAAAGATATACTTTCTTTTCAGTTGTATGAACTATATTTGACTGAGCCTTTGTACTGATGAATAAAAAACTCACTTCTGAATATTTACAGACACATAAACCAATATTTGAAAGCACTGCCACTTTCAAGAGAAAAATAAACATTGACACACAAGAGACACCAATAAATGTTTTTTTATTGAAAAACAGTAACCTAGTCTATCTTTTCATGAAGTAATCATTTTTAAAAAAGTCTGAAAGCAAAGACTCCAACTAGCTTCTTGAAGGCAGCTTTACTACCGTACAAGGTTCAGGATCCTTATAACTCTACACGGAGCATTTTTCCAGTTTCAGTTAGTCCTTTATCTAAAAAACAATAACATGAACTCAGTTATAAAACACCAACATTGTGTTTTACATACAAAGGAAACAAAAACGCTAAATGAAATTTTGACAAACATGAAAATACCTTTTTTTTCCAGCTGTAAGCTTATTTTGTGGTAATTGTCAGATCGCTCAGGTTCCTTTGTCTTTTTATGGAAATTTTATGAAGGCTAAAAAAAATTTCCCTTTAGATTTGATGAACACACATAACTGCTCGCTTATCAAGGCCGGCTGCCCAAATGATGATCATTAACAAGTACGTTTAGAGCTCTTTTAACAAGGCCTGGTCAACATTTTGCAAGATACATATAAAAAGAAGTGACATTGATTTGTAAATCTGGCGGAGCAATCTTTTATTCGCAAAATAACATATAAAATACAAAAAAAAAAAAAATCAATTACTGACGGTAAGGCACTTCACTATGTCATGAAAAATATGACCTTATCTTGAATTTGATGGCAGCACAGCAAAAAAGTTGGAACAGGGAAACAATAAATTCGGAAATGTGAATGGCACTAAATGATATCAGCAGGAAAAATCGCACTGCTTCTACATTATGATAATACTGACAGTTGTGTAGTTAAGTATAAAAACAGTACCTTACAGAGAAAAAAAGATTGAGCAGAAGTTCCTTGTTTGGCAGATGAGCGCAACTAAATCTGAAAAAAGAGTAAACGCTGAAATCCTCTGGACTAAAGAGGACAGGGACCTTGGATTTTATAAATCAATGTTCATTTTACACCACCTGCATCTCTTATCTCTGTATGTGGACACATTGGGACGAATGAAAGTATTTGTTGGATTATGAAAAACATATTTCACTCTCTAAACAACATTTTTCAAACGCCTTACATACAAAGAACAAAGACTGTTTTTGGATACATCCTGCTGCCATCAAATTCAGGATGAGCTGACATTTTTAAGACAGAGGCTTGTTCGTATTTCAGCACCATTCAACGTGCGTTCTATGTTTTATCGTGAATTTAACATTGATTTAGGATTTTTTGCAACTCATTTTTTCTTTGTTTTTGTATTTGCATTTTACAGTGTCCCGAGTTTTTGAAACAGGGGTTTCAATAAAGTTTGTTTGACGTGTGACACAACATGTAAAGTTAGTTTTTTAGAGACTTTGAATTCTCCTTTTTTTTACAAAACATATAAATAGACACTTGAAATCGAACCTTTTAAATCACCAGGTTGTAATACATATTTTTGCTTGATCAACACTTTGAGTTACGTTTTTCACATTTGGAAAATAACAGGCATATTTTGACTGTTAAAATGTACATTCATGCTGTGGATGAAACGGAAATATTTCAGATAAGTTTGACTGAATCAATATTCTTTTTATCTTCATTGATTTTTCTCTTTTTTCCAGTGAACACACACTTTACTATCTTATTTGCTTTCATTCTATCATTAGATGCCGCACAGGTGTTTCAAAGATTTCCATTCACATTTTTTTCAAATATTTTTTTTTACTTTAAAAGTCCTTTCATTGATTCATTTATATCAAATTTCCTTTTGTGTTTAACAAATAATTAGCACTTCAATAGTTTGAATTTTTTCCATCTTTGTAAGCCTGAAGGTGTGTATTAGTTTTCTACTTCTTTTTTTATTCTACTAATTAATTGTTTTTCTGTAAATACAGAAAAACAGAAAAAGACATTAACTGACTCTGAAAGTTCACTTATGCAATAAGTCCTTTTCTAGCTGACAACTGCTTAATCCTCATTTTAAATTCAATCAGTCTCACACTGTGAGGCATCTAGGCAGCTTTTGGAGTATACCTATTAATTATTTCTGATTTCCCTTTTTAAACATCCTCAGAAATGTAAATAGAAGTTTTTTTATACTCTCAATATCAGACTGATAGCAGAGTAAGACACCGTTAAAGGAAAGGTTTGGGTGAAGAATAAATATATACAATACATTATGCAGTATTACAGCCTGCAGTAATATGACCATTCACCATCACTTGAAATGTGCATTTTTTATATCATGGAAAAATAAACTTTTTTTCATATAATGGCTGCGGTAGTTGCTCAAGTGCACGCTTTTTAAATAATCTAATTTAAAACCATCTGCCATCTGAAAATGTAAGATGGAGTTTCTCTCGATAGTTTGTTTATTTAACATTTAACATGGAATAAAAGACGTTTTGCTCTGTTAAAAGTTAATTCTCTGTATAAAATGTCACCGCACCAGCAGGAGTGTCTATGTTCCAACCCTGCTTTCTTTTTAAACCATCGTCTCCAAAATAACAGCCCTGACCTCTTAACCCCACGAGCCTCTGACCTCTCCTGTGTTGAAACATGTCTGTTTTTTAGAGCTTCATCCATTTACTTACCATGTGTACATATAGTGGAGCAAACTGCAACACATACATATGCAAGGCTTGGCAAGCATACATAGGTTATACTATTCTGTAGGAGGAATATACATGTGATTATATACGTATATATACACAAGTCCCTGTTTTTTTTCTTTCAGCTGTGTGGCAGCGTGAGCATGTGTGTCAGCAATTGTACAGCATGATGTGCATGGATGGCTGCTTCTGTCTTTTAGTGAGGTGAGGATAATTTAACAGCGACTCAAGATGTTGTACGTGTCACTGCTCAGCACCCACAAAGTGTTAGTTCTCTAATTAACATCAGATTAGTCAGGTAGCATGTCAAGGATCTTTAGGCCTCCTCTGCCACGTTCCACCCCTTTCAAGAAGGGAAAAGGAAAAAAGTTTAACATGCTGCGGGTATGAATTTCCATTGAACGAAGCAATGGATTAACTTCAGGGCAGATGTGCAGGATGTTTTGACAGATGTGGTGAATACCTGAAAAACACATTTGAGGATCACACAGGGCAAATTGTTTGTTAACAATCGCCAATCAAAGACCATTGAGAATCCTGCATTACATCATTTTATATTCCATTCAGTATTTGAAGCAGATCAGAGCAAGGCAATTGGAAATTAAATCATTCTTATGAGCCGCATTCGAGTTTCCTTGATCACCTTTGTTACTTGCTCTAACTTCAGCTTGCTGCTGTGCAAGCTACAATAACAGGAAGGCGCTGCCAAATTCAAATAAGATTTCTTTTCTCTTCCAAGGAGGAAAATCCTCCCGGGCCTAGAAACATTTAAGTGCTCCATGGTAGTGTCTCTCCAAGTACAATTTCTAAGCATCAGTGCAGTTACTGGTTGTACAATTAAACAGGGCTGAACAGGAAAGACGGGAACTGTTCAACGGGGCCAGCAAGGAATACGAACACAGCAACCCTCACAATGTGCAGAATGCATTTAGACTTCTGCTGTGTGCACAAAGAAACAAATCTGCAAGAGCTATACCGGCAGCAAGAGGTTGAGTAGTAAAAAAAAACGACTCAATCTGGAGCTTGAATCTTCAGTGTGCGTATCTATCCCCGTGTGTGTGCGCGTGGAGAAGAACTTGCGTTTGGAAGAGGGATAAAGCTGTATTTGAGGAAGATGTAGGTTAATGGTTGTCTCTGATCTCCTGATCTGAATAATTCATCCAAAGGGAGGCTTTTATGTGTCTCTAAAGGCTCTGTGTGATTGGTTGATCAGGCTCCCGTATCCAAGAGCTCTACCTGCTTCCTCAAACTTTAAAGATGATAATGGATGCCATCCACCTGACAACTGTTTGTCTGAGTGTTTGTTTGTGCAACTCTGTCAACCCCCCACCATTTCTTGCACAGTGTGATGTCTTTTGTTGGGTTTTTTTTTTTGGACATATGGATGGCCCTAATATTATCTTTCTTCCCTCTTTATATATGTATTCACTCCCATGTTTTCCTTGCCAACACTTCCATGAAAGTGTTTACACACATGCTGCACACAAATACACACAGACACACAAAAGCAATCTTTCTTTTTTTCTTTTAGTCTCTCGTGTGTCCGTGTCTGTTAGTGTGACACCACCTCCACTGGGATGTTCTGAAACAACACACAGCCTGAAGGGAAACACAAAAAACATAAATGATGACAACAAAAGGCAAAACAGAATAAGAACTAAAGAAAATGACTTAAGAAATAATAATAGTGATAATGATGGTAATATTTCCCCACATTGTATTAAAGGTGAAAGACACAATTATTCCACCTAGTAATTGTTTTTACTAAAGTTGTTTTCCAACTTTACACTGCAGGATGGGGAAAGCACACAAGGATTGTTTGAATAATTGAAATATTTTCATTTGGTCTGCAATATACTGTTGCATACCGGCCAATCTGTCAAATTGAGGAACACTTGGTCAACCTTGTTTTGCTTATCCACCCTTTATTCAGCTAAACCTACAGTGAGTACTATTAGACCGAAACATAGGAAAAGGTTAAAATAAATATAGTGTTAGAGGAGAGAGGTTTAGTAACTTCTACCAGTAGTGTAAAGTATATATCTATACATAAAGGAAGCAAGAGTTCTCATATGGCTGATATGGATAATCCTCATTCTTTCTTTCTCCTCCTTCCATTTATCTCTCGCATCCTTACAGAAAGGAGCTAAGACAAGAAAAGGCATGGGATCATCAAGGAGGCACGTAGGCATACTGAAAAGCAGCTCTTGTCTAATCACCTTCAGTTATTAGCTTCCTTCCACACAAGCAGTTTGAGTTCAAGACTTGTCATCTGTCAGAGCAAAATGCTCTGGTGACCCAGTCGAAATCTTTCCCTAATTGCGGATCTCTGTCGGCGTGGCAGGGATTTGTACGCTGCAAGTAAGTAAACTAAAAGCTCATTTCTACTTGCTCTGTTTTGAGTTATGCCGTGACTGTAGTTACATGAGTTGTGACACAAAATGTCAGAAAATAGAGCAGAAATAATACTAAAGACCTTAACCAAATGTCATCAGACATCAAAACAAAGATACAAGTTAATCTCAAACCAGGGAACAAACTGACCACACCACAACTGCAGCCAAGGTAGAAAACATTATTACATATATATTATTTGGTGTAAAGGTAAGTCAAGTAGATAAATTGATATCCACTCAACAGTATGTGTTTGATAATGATGAATGTTTAATAATCAATGCAGCAAAGGCCGCACTCACACAGAAATACAGCAGAACAGTTTCCAGAGATCTGTTTAAAAGATAACAGTTTACTCAAAGTGGGAGGAAGTGACCTTTTCCCAAACACAAACCACAAAATTATTGATCCTACGTGCACCTGAACTTTTCTTAATCTTCCCAGCGGAATCATAGCAGAAAGACACAATCACTATACAATGCAATCAAATTCTCCTCATAGGTGTTGCATTAAAGTTTTAATTTGCTGTAATGCTCATTCTTGGTAGGGTTGCTCATCCCAGCTGCTATTGAGCAAGAAGCAGATACAGCCCGCAGCCTCACAGAGACAAACAACCTCGCATTCACACCCACGGGCAATTTTAGAATAATCAACTAACCTAACATGCATGTTTTTGGGCAGTGGGAGGTAGCTGGAGCACCCAGTAGGACCCCACATATACACAGAGAGAACATGCAAACTCCACACAGAAAGCCCTCCAGTCCCCAGGGAGTCAAACCAGGAACCAGCTTCCTGTGAGGCAATGGTGCTAACCACCATGCTGCCGCATGCCAAATGTTTCGGAGAAAATGAAAAATGTCTCAAAGGGCCAAAAATGTAAGAAAAAAACCCCCACTGAGGCCAGGCTGCCAAACGAGCTGCTGAAAAGAACATTTATTGGAAAAATATCAAACAGACAGCAATAAGAAAGAGATGAAAGTCCAGTTCTAGGTTATTCATAGGTGAGGTTTGAATTTCATCTTGCACAGTAGCCTCTTATTCTTTAGAGGCTATTTCTACTGGCTTTCCTCTGTAGTGAGGCAACCCAGTATGGCATGTGTTTGCGATTCTAATAAAATGTTCGACTTTATTTTTACACTCGTCTTAAAGCTAAGTTTTGTCAACCCTGATCGGTATGAGTTGTAGTCCAATCAAAAAAGGCTGAATGCCATTTGATCAACAATATGTGGAATTGAAGTGAGTCTTAAAATGACCAACCTTAAAACCAGATTGCAGAATTTTCTGTTTGACTATTTCTTTCACTGTTAAATCAGATGACAACCTTTTTCACCAGGAACCCTCATAAACGCAGATATAAATGCACATCCATTTCATTTAAAAACCTCACACAGTTGTTTGAATTTTTATGAGCTTTTCAGATGTGTTTAGTTCTTGTTTCAACTTGATAAGATTGCTAACATTTGGAGGAAACATTTCGAGGAATCACCCTGAGGGAAATTCTGCAAGTTGTTATTTTCTCTGTTCATTTTCATTCCAAAGTCCTTAAGGTCCACAGATTAATTTAAAAAAGGCAATTACAGTATTTACCTTCGAGTCCTTAGTTAAAGTAGCTAACATTTTCAGTTCCCGGTTTCTGTCCATGGCACAACTTTATGATTACAGATGATCAGAAAACAATTTGCCTTTAAATCCAATCTGCATGCACATAGAAACTCAAAGCCCTGTCATGTGAAAGAAATTCAAACGTTTTATCATGCATACAGTATAGCCACCCCCACAACATCCTCTCCCTGCTACACCACACAAAAAACCCTTTCTTGTTTCCTCCCTGTGCAGAGAACGAGGTAATTGTGTTCTGTGTATTTGTCCTGTAAAGCTTCCATTCTGCATGGTTTGACGATAAAATCTGTACATCGGACTGAAACGATGAGCCTGACTGCTGCTGATCTTAAAGTTAAAGTTAAAAAAGACACTACAAAGGACATCAGCTGTATCAGCGAGGGGCTGAGGCATGTTCAGGAAATGGTTAATGATATCCATCCATCCATTATCGTTACATTGGTTGAAAAAAATATGCTTTTCAAGTGTTTTACCATAACAAGATTTCCAAAAAGAAGAACGTTACAGTTGAGTCAGGTTGAGCAGTGGAAATAAAGTAAGACCGCAGAACAGCACCAGCAAGGTGATGGCTGATGCATGTGTCAGGGTGGAAACATTAAGGAGAAAACCATTCCAGTCAGCTGACACTTTATGATAAAGCGCAGAGTGAGTTGAGCCAAAAACAACAACCTGCTCTCCCCCTTAAGCTGCCTTTGTCATTTTTTTCTGTTAAAACTTAGGGAGATATTTGCAGACTGGAAGTGAACTGTGAGTAAACAACACAAGCTGATTTTACTGCCGGTAGGCAGTGACCATATAGCACTGAGCGATTCCCAACAGTGGAAAGATTCCTGTGCTTCCTCATTCTGCTGCTGCCACACAGCCACACAATCAAATGCACTAGAGACACCATCATGGTACCAAACTGCAACTAAGCTCCAAGAGACTGAGATCCAGCAACGTAATTTTGTATGTGCACCGTGGAAGTTTAGTGGATTAACTATACCAACACACCAAAGGAATGTCGAATCAGGGGGGTTAACTTGTATCACAGAGGGTTCCCACGTGATGGTTTATGCATGTGCCAGAGAAAGAACAAGGTCAGGGTTCCCCTTCTCAAGTGCAGAAACTTTATCATCATCTGCTCTGATAATAAAGTCACATCTGCTCAGCATGGTTGTGAGATAAATATCCAATAATGCTTCAAGTATAAAATGTTATTTGAATGTTAAAATGTGAAAAATTTACAATTCATAAAAACGTAAAACCACTATTTTTGGTTTGTTAACATTTCCTATTAGTTTTTTTTCTCGCAATGTTTCTCACCATCCAAAAAAACTGCACGTTAGGTTGATTGGACATTCCAAATTGCCTCTCGCCCATTGACCAGTGGGATAGGCTCCAGTTCCCCCCGCGACCCCATTAGGGAATAAGCAGAAGCGATAATAGATGGATGGACAGATGTTTCTCAGAAAAATCAGAGGTGTTTTCTGTATGTTTGCAGGAATAAAAACATGAAATATCACATTCAAATTTCAACAAGTTCAGAAGAGTATGACAATAATTAGCCATAATATTCCCTGCCTTGCAAATTCAAAGTACTGCAATTAATAGTAACAAGTATTCATGCTGGTGCTTTTTTTGCACCTACATTTACCAGTAGCTTGTTATTTGAATATTCAAACAAAACACATGTCAGCACTTGATATTTTAGATTAATGGCGTGTCCTCATGTCTGAAAACAGCACAACAACCACCTCCAGTGTCACAGTTTGAACCTCAGCAACTAAAATCATTGTAATGTCTTGCTGCCAATCATTGTCGGCCTTTTTAAGGAGGAGGGGAAAATGTTTTTTCCAGCCGTGACTCACTTCATAAACAAAGAGAGCAAGTGGAGCGAGAAACGACTCAGCTTGAGCCAGAAAAGAAGTCTGGGTTTACGATTTGACGTCTTTTGTCTCCTCTCATTTCAGCGTCGACCGCTGACTTTAGGTGGTGCCAGGTGTCGCTTCATCCGTGTGTGTGCGATTGTGTGTGTGAGTAGTGATTCACTCCTCTCCCAGACACAGCTAGTGATAATGATTTAGTTTTAGAGCAGCACAGGTTGGCAGTGACGCAGGTTGCTATGGCAACATCATGCAACGGGCAACGGAAGTTGACCATGTTGCACTGTAGACCCTCTGACAACTGCAGACACACACACACACTAAAGACCAGCCGTCTGTATGTCACACTCTTTTCGGATGTCACCCTCGCTCTGACACAAACATGCTGGGATCGACGTTGCATTAAACATTTCTCATTTCCTGAGAGACTGAAGAAAAATCTCTGTTCTTCACAGTGACGTAACTTCCATTCAGCACCTTGTTGCTGGGTAATCTGTTCTGTCAGCTGCTCTCATGTTGTCTGACTCAAGAAACGATCAGACTTTGCCAAAACACCTTGAAACACAAAAAAAATGTTGCTTATTTGCATTTTCTTTTGCATTGCAAAATCATTTCTGTGAGTAAGAATTGTTTCAATATTTTATCATGATTTACATTAAGATATCCTATAGTTTTAGGATAAATATTTCTTAAACTATTTTTGAGATTTGCATAAATTGA